TCAGCTTCCTGAAGAGAATAGAAAGTTGGCGAAGATGATCCTGTAGCTTTGTTAACCGGTCTTGATATGTTCCAGTATGGTAAGTGACACCATTTGGCAGCTTACCGGGCAAAATAATAAAAATATAAAGTAATGAAAATCAAGATTTTACAAAAGCAAAGTTAATAACAGAAAAAGTTTTTAAGTATTGCATAAAAGCAATTGTTTTTCACAACTAATCAAGTGCCGTTTTAAGAATAAGAGTAATACATGCCCATTTATCAGCAACGTGGCATATTGTTTCATTGCTGTAAAACAGCCATAGAAGATCTTTGTGATAAGCCCTCTGGCTAGTTGAAATAATTTTTCCCCTTTAATTTTTGAAGTATGAAATGAAAAAGTACATGAGAAAAATAAGCAAGAATAGCCAAGGCAATTCTGAAAAATAAGTGTAAATATATTATAGTACCTTGAAAAATGTAAGGTTTTACATTAATACATAAAAGACAGGTAGCTAAGTGGAATACAATAGAACATACAAAGCAGCATCTGAAATCAATGGAGGAAAATGAATTAGTCAATCAACCCTTTGAAAAAAGTAAGGCTAGGGCCATACTTTAAGTAGGATAAATTCCACAAGGATTAAATGTAAAAATTGAAACAAGAAAACAAAGACAGACACATCCTTGAGAGACACTTTTGAGTGTACATGGGGGCAACCCTACACTTAAGGTTTGCCCAGGGAGGCCCTGTTGACGTTCAGGTGTTAGGTAGATAGCAAGGGATTCAGGTCTCCTAAGGATGAAAGTGGGTGCTGTTGCCCCCATCTTGATCCTGCCCCACCCTAATTCTCCACACCTGGGGGAGGAGGGAATACCCTACAAATCTGCCCATCAGAACTTGGCCCGCCAGCTACAAAAGAATGCAGAGGACTCTCTAATCCACAGGCCAAGCAGCATGGGTACCATAAAGTCCAGAAAGTGACCTAGAACCCACATGTATAGTTAAGGCTCAGGTCATGTGATTCCCAACTGTCCAATCAAAGTGGTTCCATCAGGAGGGAGGTCCTTATCCAGGCACTATAAAATAAGACGCAGACCATAGCCAATCTTTCTCTTTGCCCTCTTGCTTGCCCTGCTGCGACAATGGTCGTCATCCGTGGCGTATGTACCATTCTCTGTAAACCTACATCTTGCTCTTGTCCTATAATACTTTCTCTTCTCAATAAACCTCATTTTCGTACTTGCCTAACTTCGGCGCATCTGGTCATTCTTCGGCCATGAGCGGGCCAAGAACCGACAGTTTCAGACTAAAACCTGACACAGGGACTCCACCTAACGATTAAACCAGCGCTCCCTTCCCTCCCAGAAGCATCCCGCTTGCTCCACGCACGCCCACCTTCCCACCTGCATGTTCCTCAGCAGCTGAAAGATCTCCATGGTGCGGTACACGATGTCCTGGACAGTCTCCTGCCCGATCCGGCACAGCGATGCTGTGTTGACCTCCCGGGCGGCCTGCTGAGCCTGGGGCCCGGCGAAGGGCCCGGGCGCCATCCCCGACGCCGCCAACGGAGGGGTGGACATGGCGCGGCTGCGGTCTCAGGCCGGCAGGGGCCGGAGAGTAGGTGTCAGGGGTGAGGGGCTCGGCGCGAGCGGGAGCTGGGAAGACCCGGGCTGCCAGATTTCAAAACAGCAGCCGCGACTTCCGCTTACCGTGACGTAACACGTCGCCAAACGTCACAGGCACCGCCCACTCGGCCGTCCCCTGGGAACCTGCCTCCGCGTGAAGCCGCACGGGATTGGACTGGAAGCCTGAATGGGGCGGGACAGAATGGTTGAATAGCCAATCAGTAGCTGCGCTCCGGCCAGAGGGGGCGGTATGCGTGGTGGGGTGGGGTGGGCTTCCCAGAGTTGGTTTCCTAAAGGCTCAGTCCTACGTTGGAATTGTTGGTGGAACTCTCGGTTTTTGTGTTAAGTTTCTTTGCTGAGCATTTTCTTGTAACAAACCTATGAGCTTTGTAATATTATTGTCCTTTTACAGCTAAGAGGAAGGCTTACAGGTCAAAGTGTGCTTGTTCAGTCACATACAGGTTGTAAATGGCAATCTGCGATTCGAATTTAGAAAGCACGATTCCTGACCTTGCACGCTTCGCTGTGACATGATAGTTTATTCGAGGAGCTTTCTTGATCTCTTTAAGTAAAAGATTAACACTACGCGCGCCTGCGCCCACACATACACACTCCTTTCTGACTCTGACAATTATTACTGTCTGATGTTTTATATAATTTTCGGTTTGTTTACTTTCTGACTTCCCCTCACCCTATCTACATACACACACAATGTAAACTACGTAAAAATGGAGACTATTTTATTCACTTATGTATTCTTGGAACTCAGGGATTAAGACAAGTATCAATAAATACTTGTTAAATGACATTATACATGTAAAAGAAAATAATACCATTTTCTCACCTACTACGTACTGTGTATCTCCAAGAGTGGGGAGAGTCAAGAAGGTAAAATTGCTGATAGGCACAAACATTCAAATATTGCATATTTATAATGAAAGTATCTAAACCCTTCATTAGTGTGGACTTTCCAGGAAATGGTTACTAAAAAATGGCATAGGAACCATTGCAGAGACTTTAAACATAGTAATTTGCAGCTCTTCAGTGAGCAGTTACCATTTGAGAAATATTGACTGAGCACCTACCATGTGCAGGATGCTAAGAACAAATCAGTCAAAAGCCCTGCTCTCATGGACACAGAACACTAATTATCGTGATGTGTTTCGAAGCAAAAGTTCAAGGTCCTGATACAAGGGTGATAACAATTTAGGCGATTGGGAACAACCTGAGGGGAGAAAGATGGCACCTGAAGGTGGATAGGTGATGGGGTATGGTACATGGGAGTCTTTTTCTACCAGGGGAGTCAGCCGACAAGGAAGGGCGTGCCAACACCTTCGGTAAAGAGGCTTCCTAATGCTTTCTAGGATCTGAAAGAAGTTTAGTGTAAGAACAAGTGTTAGCAAACAAGCCTGAAGACAGGCAACCTTGGGGAAAGCTTCTAAGCCATGGCAAGCAGTTTGGACTTCATTCTGAGTGAATGAACAAGTCACTGAAGAGTTTCAAGGAGAGAGAATAAGTACCTGAAATATTCATTTTAGAAGACTTATTCTGACTGCTGATTGAAGATTGGATGGTGAGTGTGTGCTGTCCCCCTCTTCCTCCCAAAGGGGGATGATGATCATAATCATGATCATGATCTGTATAAGACAAATGGTACAGTGAGTAACTCTGAATAAATATTTAGTAAATAGACTCTAGACAACATGATATTGATTGGGTTGGGAGCATGAAGGAGAGGAAGGAATCAAGGGCAGCACCACTTATTTCTGCCTTTAATAAATGGGTGAAGTTTATGTTATTCACCAAAATATGTACAGTGAAGAAAAAATAAGTTTCAGAGAAATTATACCTTATATTAGCTTTCTATTGCTGCTGCAATAAATTGTCACAAACTTAGTGGCTTAAAGCAACACAAATGTATTACCCTACAGTTTTGTAGCTCAGAAATCTGAAATGGGTCTCGCTGAGCTAAACTCATGTTGGCAGAGCTGTATTCCTTTCTGGGAGCTATCAGGAGGAATCTGTTTCCTTGTCTGTTCCAGAGTTCAGAGGCTGTCCACATTCCTTGGCACATGGCCCCTTCCATCATCTTCAAAGCTACCTTCTACCATCTTTGAAGCCAACATTGGCCAGTAGAGTTTTTCTCATGATATTCTCTCTCTAGTTCTGAGTATTCTGCATCTTTCTCTGTGATTTAAGGATCCTTTTGATTATATTGGGTCCACCCATATAATTCAGAATACCTCTTTATTTTAAGGTCAGCTATTTTACAATGTTAGTTCCATCTGCAACCTTAATTTCCCCTTGCCAAGTAACATAACATATTAACAGATGCTGAGTATTAGGATGTAGACATCTTTTGTGGGCAATTACTTTGCCTACTACGTGCCTCCATTCCAAATTGTCCTTGAATTCAAACTCACATACCTAACAGCCTATCTGATATCTTGACTTAGATGGCTAATTGGCATCTAAAACTTAAGTCTAACACCAAACTCTTAATCCCTCCAACCTTCTTGTACTACACTTTTTTCCATCTCACTTACAGGCACCACAATGTGCTCACCTGTTAACACCAGATTCTCTCTTTCCCACCCCACTTCCAAGCCATGAGAAAATACAGTGGACTCTAACTTTCAAATATATCTTATATGTGACCAATTCTCATTATTTCACCTCTTTCACCTTACTCCAAACTCTCTTCTTCTCTTATTTGGATTGTTGGAAAATAATCAAAAAAGTCTCCTAACTATACTCCCTTCCTGCTGTTCCATTCAGTCCACTCTCAACACATCACCCACAGGGCAACTTTTAAAACTATAAGTGGGTGATGACTCTTCTTTGCCAAAGTGTCTTCCCATCATGCTCAGGACAGAATCCAAAGCTGCATGACCTACACATTTCCACATGTGCTGGCCTGGGCCTCTCCTGTCATCTCAGCTTCTACAGCTCTCCCCTCACTCCAGCCACCTCGGCCTCCTTGCTGCTCATTATACACTCCAAGTTCTTTTCACTTCAGGGTCATTTGCGGGGGGTGGCTGGGAGGCTCTTCCCTCAACTGTCTCTCCAGGTATCTGCTTAGAGTGATCTTCCCTGGCTACTCTCTTAAAATGGCCTGCATCAGTTCTCTGTTGCTGCTGGTACACATTATCTAAATTTAATGGCTTAAAGCAACAGAAACTTATTAGCCTATCATTCTGTAGATCACAAGTCTAATATGGGTCTTACCAGGCTAACATGAAGGCATTGGCAAGGCTGTGCTTCTCTCTGGAGTCTCTGGGGGAATATTTCTTTCCTGCTTATTCATGTTGTTGGTAGAATTCAGTTCCTTGTGGCTGTAGGACTGATATCCCCATTTTCTTACTGACTGTAAGATGAGGGCCGTTCCTGGCTTCTATAAGATGCCACATCCCTCCTCCATCTTCAACCCAGCCCTAGCAGTTGAGTCTCACTCCTGCTTTAAATCTCTCCTGCCTCTTCTTCCATTGTTATTACCCATATCTCTGACTTTTCACTTTCAAGGGCCCATGTGATTATATTGGGCTCATCCGCATTATCCTGGATAATATCTGCATCTTAAGGTCTTTAACTTTAATCATATCTGCAAAATCCCTTTTCTATATAATGCAACATAGTTTATAGATTCCAGGGATTAAAGGGTGGAGATATTTGTGGGGCCATTATTCCACATACCTCATAGCCCCCTCCATCTCTCTTTATCCACTTACCCTGCTTATTTTTATCTGTAGTGTTTATCACACACTGATCCTGTTTCTTTTCCTGTTTGTCTCCCCAACCAAACAGTAAATTTCGTGAAGTTACCGATTGTTTCTTTAAGTTATTTCAGTAGATTCAGCATCTATAGAAGTGCCTGGTACACAGTAAGTGCTCCATAAATAGTTGATAAAGAACTGTGAGTTTACTCTGGGGTATCTTGAGTTTGAAATGTTCACAAAATAACCAAGCAGATCTAGCTAGTAAGCAATTGAATGTATGCGTGGGCCCTGGTAGGATGTTTTTTGTTGTTGTTGTTTTGTTTTGTTTTTGTGAAAAGAAGTGGGGTGAGTGTCATGGTAAACTCGAAGCTGTGGAGTCAGACTTCCTAGACAAAAATCCAAACCTGGCATTGCCCAATAGTGGATAAATCACATCAACCTCCATGTAAAATATGGAAGTAACAATGGTACCTACCTTCGGGTTTGTTGAAAGGATTAAGCGAGACACTGTATACAAAATGCTTACAGCTCCTAGCATATAGTAAGTACTAAATAAATGTGCACTGTACTTCCTTTCACCATGCGTAACAATGAGGAGAATGGATAAAGTGAGAAGTGAGGAAGAAATTGTCACCAGACAGAGCCAATTAGAGACACAAAGGGACAGAAAGAGGAAGAGGAGGCACCAATAACAAAAGGAAAAATTGAGAGGAGCCAAAGAGGTCAAAGGAAAATCAGATGGTATCATGCTGTGGAGGTTGCAGGAAGAATAGATTGTTTAAGGAAGGAGCTTATGATGAACAGTGTCAGACACTGCTGAGAGGTTAAGCAAAATAACCCACACAAAGACAGTATTAAATTACAGAAGAATTTTTAGCAGACAATTCTTGTCCAAAGTCCCATAGAGAGTGAGGGAATGAAACAGAGACTATAATTTCTACCTAATATCTGTTCAGCCCTCCTTCTTAGCAAGAGACCATCTGGTTTTTAGCAGAGTAACCCAAGCTATGCTGTAAGCACAGCTTTCCCTGCACCTTGACAAGGACCTTTCACTAAGTTCTGGACAACGGGCTGTAAGTATGAGCCACAAGTGACACTACTGGCAGTTGTTCTTTAAAAGGAGGAGGCTTCCAGTTCCTTCTTACTATTAACTGGGTTGCAGAAATCATGGCTGCAGCTCAGATAAGTGCTTATTTGAGGGTTTTCTGTCACCTACAACTGAACCTAAGACTAACTGTTGAAATGGCAAATTTGGAATTTGCCCGAAGCCCCACATGGTTTTGTCTGATACCAAAGTAGTGTCTCCTAACACAGTGATTCATTGCCTCTGCTTTAAGTGACCCAAAAGGCAAGCTGGAATCCCTCTTGACCTTGTCCAGGA